CCCCAAAACCCCAAAACCCCAAAACCCCAAAACCCCAAAACCCCTGTTTCCTTTAGTAAATTTGAAAGTGAATTCGCTTAATTAACATGTTAGACAATATGGAGGCCCTCTAATATTGATCGAACAGGGGAAAATTTGAGTCTCCGAATAAAAGACTCTCAGCGAAGGAGACACCCCAAGAATCTTGGGAAGGCTCTGGTGATTTAATGTGTTCTGGCTCGAAAGGAAAGCCATCAGAGAGGAATCAATCCTCAAAAATGAGAGAGTTAAAGTCTCTCTCCTCCATCGAGTGTTTCTTGTTGAATGAAGGTTGGTAGAGCTCAACCTGATTTTCAGCAGGGTGACAAAATATCACCTGGTTGTTTGCCTCTACTGGTCGACCGATGTGGCTAGAATCAACCATTTGGGGCTGAACTCTAGCTGAAGTCGTCCTTCTCAAGCTTTGATTAAATTTGGGAGGAACCATTCTATTTTGAGGCACTGGTTTGACCTCGTCGAGTCTGCCATTTTTATTTGATTCAAGACCGCCTTTTTGCGTAAACGGAGTGATCTTGAAATCTCCTTCCCCACTGGATACTAAGCTAGGAGTTAGTGACCCTGTGGAGGCTGTTTTTGCTGGGGATAGTATTGACGCTTGGGTTGCGCTAGCTGAGGTTAAAACCGAGTCTTTCCTTAGATTTCCCAAGTTCTTGCTTAACGTAGCCACGCCCTTCTGCCTGTTCGTTCTTCTCCTTCTTCTCGAAGTCTTCGTTCTCTTCACTTTCACTATTTCAAATAGCTTTGTTTTGAAATCGTCAGGATATGAGTACTCAGATACTTCATAAGACTCTTCTGGGGAGTTGGTTTCTTTTGCTTCTTCCTGGCATTTTTCAGAGCTTGCATTGGAGATCTGCAGAGCATTTTCATTTTCTCCATTCTGAATGGCTTCTTTATACACCCTCTTTGCCTTCCTCTTCCTCTTGACACCAGCCGGGATCGTTTTGAGTACTTCCTGTGTTTTTGAACTGGATTCTAGTTGTGGATCCTCAACAGGCGGGTTCTCATATATAGGTGCTAGCAGCTCAATTTCCGCTTGAACTTCGTCCATATAGTCATCTTTCAAGACCTTTTGAGCGTGAGACCTTGACTGGGTGCTGGACCTAGTCCGGACGAATTCTTCAATCTTCTTCCAGTCCTTTCCATATTTCTTGACAGCCAGAAGGAACCGGTAGTGCTCCTCCTCCGTCCATCTTCCGTTTTGGAACTTAGCTCTCTTTCTCTGGGAATTTTTGGGTTTATTTGGAACCTTAGTTTTGATACTGGAGTTCATCTGTTTTAATATTTGTAGACTCTTCAACTAATTCCCTCAAAAAGGGGTTTTGGGGTTTTGGGGTTTTGGGGTTTTGGGGTTTTGGGGTTTTGGGGTTTTGGGG